TCCAAAAGAAAAACCCCCTGTGAAATTAGAGGGATACCCTTGCAAAAAATCCCCTCGATGTGGGTTCCTGTCCGTGGTGAGGGGACCTCCCAGAGATGGTTTAGAAACTCCTCTTTACCATCCCTGGGATCTGAACGCCCACCCACGTGTTTGCCGTGCGTGGTGTCCCGTATGCCGGAAAGGGGGATCCTGGTAGTTGAGGGGAAACATAGCGTCCCCAACACACTGCCTTGGCCCCTGCTTCGGATAAATGGGAGGCTCAAATCAGGCTCCGTTTGAGTCAATCGGCTGGTCGTTGAGTCATTCTTGACCTCGGCTTGGAGTCAACCGATCGATGCAGACCGGGCGGACATGTCAGTCTAGATGTGCTCTTCTTGACTGCATTGTGAGGGTATAGATCCTGGGAAACCCTGGTGTGACGGTCTATGGAAGTACTCCATGTGACGGCATCCCCTTGTTGGGCCCCATGGTGGGTGGGGTCACTAGGAGCTGAATTTTTTCTGTAATTATGGATTCAAAAAATTCAAAAAGTTCTTGTGCACCAACAACAAAAACAAACAAAAAAATCTCCACTAATCCAGCGTTTTTAGTAGTGCACGCAACCGGAGAAAAACCCTGGCTAAAGCTTCTCCTTTCTTGATTCAAAAATTGTTTGAATCGACCATAGGACAGTTGAAAAAAATACAAAAATTAAGATCTGGAGATTTACTGGTGGAAACAGCTTCCCCACAACAATCGGCAAAACTTCTGGAAACAAAGACCCTAGGAGAAATGGAAGTCACTGTCACCCCACATGTGAGCCTAAACTCATCACGTGGGGTAATATCTGAGATCGATCTGATATCTGAAGATGAATCAGATATTCAGATTGGCCTTTCAGACCNGTGGTGTCCCGTATGCCGGAAAGGGGGATCCTGGTAGTTGAGGGGCAACATAACGTCCCCAACACACTGCTTTGGCCCCTGCTTCGGATAAACGGGAGGCTCAAATCAGGCTCCGTTTGAGTCAATCGGCTGGTCGTTGAGTCATTCTTGACCTCGGCTTGGAGTCAACTGATCGATGCATTCCGGGCGGACACGTCAGACAAGATGTACTCTTCTTGACTGCATTGTGAGGGTATAGCTCCTGGGAAACCCTGGTGTGACGGTCTATGGAAGTACTCCATGTGACGGCATCCTCTTGTTGGGCCCCATGGTGGGTGGGGTCACTAGGAGCTGAATATTTTTCTTCAATTATGGATTCAAAAAATTCAAAACGTTTCTGTGCACCAACAACAAAAACAAATGAAAGCATCTCCAGTAAGCCAGCGTACTTAGTAGTGCACGCAACCGGAGAGAAACCCTTAGCTAAAGCTTCTCCTTTCTTGATTCAAAAATTGTTTGAATCGACCATTGGACAGTTGAAAAAAATACAAAAATTAAGATCTGGAGATTTACTGGTGGAAACAGCTTCCCCACAACAATCGGCAAAACTTCTGGAAACAAAGACCCTAGGAGAAATGGAAGTCACTGTCACCCCACATGTGAGCCTAAACTCATCACGTGGGGTAATATCAGAGATCGATCTGTTATCTGAAGATGAATCAGATATTCAGATTGGCCTTTCAGACCAAGGTGTCACTGCTGTCCGACGCATTTCCATTCGTCGAGATGGCAAGTTGATTCCCACCAAACACCTTATTTTGACATTTAATAAACCGACTTTGCCATCTGTTATTACAGCAGGTTATCTGCGCTGCCCAGTTCGCCCATATGTTCCAAATCCGCTGCGTTGCTTTAAATGCCAGCGATTTGGACATTCACAAACATCGTGCCGAGGGAAAAGCATATGCGCACAGTGCGGAACTGAAGGTCACGAGAGTACTGAGTGTACCACTACTCCGTGCTGTGTGAATTGCAAAGATGCCCATCCTGCCTACTCTCGAAAATGCCTAGCATGGCAGAGAGAGAAAGAGATCCAGCGAGTAAAAACCATTAACAACATACCATACCCGGAGGCTCGGCGAATGGTCACTCAAAGCACAGTAGTGAAACAGAAAACATTTGCTTCATAGTTGAAATCTACAAAGTCATGTGGGGTTCAAACTGATATCTCTGTCTCCCCAAGCGAATCTCTTACTCGCCATGCGAGATGTTTAATACTCCCGTCTACACAAACACCAGAAAAGGAGATCACAAAAGGAAAAACACCCCTGCCTAAAACGGGTAATTACAAGAAACCTGGGTTCTAAAAAGGCTAATAAGAACCCACTAAACAAACAGAGAGTGAAAGCAGCTCTCTCTAAATCTAAAAAATCAGAGGCTCAGTCCATGAGTGAGTTCTCTGATATCTCTGATGAAGAGAATAATATGGAGGTAACCCAACCAACGTCACCTCCAAAAGGAAAATCATCAGTTAAACTGAAGAGGGACACTTTTTCTAAGAATGCTGCCTCAAACACATAATGGATTATAAAATAATCCAATGGAACTGTCGTGGTTTTCGCAACAACTTCTCTGACATTAAACACTTGACATCATCTACCTCATCTCTCTGCGTGGCACTCCAGGAGACTCATCTGAAACCTAGAGAGGGAATTACTTTAAAAGGATTTGATCTCTACCGCAAGGATGATGATAGCCACAACCGTGCAAGTGGTGGTGTGGCTATTCTGGTTTCCAACCGCACCCCATCCTTGCCGGTACAAATAACAACAGAGCTGCAAGCTGTGGCAGTCAGAATTTCTATTGGAGTAACTGTCACGGTTTGTTCTATATACTTGCCACCAGATGTCAGAGTCAACGAAGATGAATTGGATGCTTTGGTTGAACAGTTGCCTACTCCATTTGTTTTACTAGGTGATTTCAATGGTCACAATCCAATGTGGGGCAGTCCCGACATTAACCGTCGAGGCAGGACCATTGAAAGATTCATAGGCAATCAGCAGCTATATTTATTTAATACAGGAGAAGTGACATACTTCCATGCCCCAACAAGAACATTCACTGCCATTAATCTATCATTAGCAAGTCCAAACCTGTTTTCAGCATTTACATGGGAGGTTGGATCTAATCCACTCTCTAGCGACGACTTCCCAATATTTTTAAAATATCAAGGCAGAGAGGGCTGTGAAACAGCCCGTCCACCATGCTGGAAATTGGAAACACCCAATTGGCCTCTTTTTTCCTTTATGGCCAACATCACTGAGGAAATGGCCAATACTGCTGATATCAATGATGCAGTTGAAGTTGTCACTTCTACTATTATTCAGGCAGCGGAAAAAACAATGGGGAAAACATCAACTAGATATTTAAAGCATCCGAAACCATGGTGGAATCAGAATTGCGAGGCAGCATTTAAAGCACAAAAGAAAGCATGGGGAATTTTTAGAAGATACCCCACTGCTAGAAATTTTATAGCTTTTCAAAAAGCGAAGGCAAATGCCAGAAGAATAAGAAGGCAAAGCCAAAGTGATTCTTGGAGGAAGTATGTTTCTAGCATAACATCTTCCACTAGCTCAAAAGCAGTCTGGGATAAAATTCATAAAATCAATGGGAAATATGCTTTTCACTCTGTGTCAATGCTGGAAAATAATGGCACAATAATCAGCAATATACAGGGTATTGCTGATACGTTGGGTGAAACGTTTTCTACTTTATCTAGCAATATTATGTATTCAAGAAATTTTCAGGCTTATAAAGCCCAAAGAGAAAAACACTGTTTAAACTTTCATTCCTTATCTAATGAGGAATATAATGTGCCATTCACTAGAATTGAATTACAAACAGCGCTCTCTCGCTCGGGGAATAGTGCTGTAGGCCCAGATGAAATCCACTACAGCATGATTAAAAATTTGTCAAACAATTCCCTTTCTAATCTCTTGTACCTGTTTAACAGAATATGGACAGAAAATAATTTTCCTGACTCTTGGAGACTATCAATTATTATCCCTATTCCAAAACCTGGTAAAGACTGCAAGAATCCCTCTAATTACAGACCAATCTCTCTGACAAGTTGCCTGTGTAAACTGTTTGAGAGGATGGTAAACAGACGTTTGATGTTACTCCTAGAGGAAAAGAACTACTTTTCACCACATCAGAGGGGATTTCGTAGGAACAGAAGTACCACGGACAATTTAGTAAAACTTGAAACATCCATATGCGAAGCGTTTGTTAGATGACAACACTTAGTGTCTGTATTCTTCGATATAGAGAAGGCCTATGATCGCTGCTGGCGTTACGGAATACTTCGTGATCTACATGAATTTGGATTGCGGGGTAACTTGCCAGTTTTTATAAAAAACTTCCTGGAGAATCGAAGATTCCAAGTCAGGATGGGCAACACTCTATCTAGGTCTTTTGTCTAAGAAGGTGTTCCTCAAGGATGTATTTTGAGTGTGACTCTGTTCCTAATTAAAATTAATAGTATAGCTAAGTGTCTTCCTCTCAGTGTGAAACACTCTTTGTATGTGGATGACTTTCAGATCTCCTGCCAGTCTAGCAACATGAGTTTCATTGAGAGACAACTGCAAACCTCTCTAAATCGCATAAACAATTGGTCCGAGACCAATGGTTTTAGTTTCAACATAGAGAAGACCTTGTGCATTCACTTTTGCCGAAGGCGTGGTTTGCACCTGGATCCCGAAATTTATTTAAATGGGGATAAAATATCAATGGTAAATGAGGCGAAGTTTTTGGGTGTTTATTTCGATTGAAAATTGACATTTTTGCCACACTTGCGCAACTTGAAGAGTAGATGTTTAAAACCTCTAAACTTTTTAAAGGTATTATGTCGCTCATCCTGGGGAGCAGACAAAGTTTCTATGCTCAGGATTTATAGGGCCCTTGTTCGCTCTAAGCTGGACTATGGGTGCATTGTTTATGGCTTTGCGCGAGAATCTACTCTTCGGATGCTGGATCCAATCCATCATCAAGCTTTGCGTTTGTGCACTGGTGCATTCCGAACTTTTCCTGTCCAAAGTTTGTATGTGGATGCTTATGAGCCTCCACTGTCATTCAGGAGAGAACAGTTGTCTCTTTTTTATTATCTAAAACAGAAATCTTATACTAAACCTTCAGTTGATTGTACAGTACAGTATCAGATACTCAGCTGAAAAGGTTATTTGAAGCTTACCCAAGCAGTGTCCCTACGTTCGTCATAAGAATGGAGAATGTAAGCAGTACGATCGACCTGAACATAAGCAACGTTTCACAGGCCGAGATTGATAGTACGCCACCCTGGTCTACTCCTGTGATAAATGTTGACTTTAGCTTAAAGCAGTTTCCTAAGGAATCCACTCCAGACTATGTCTATAAACAGCACTTTGCAGAAATCCAACACAATGATATGTATTTAATTTACATTTACACTGACGGTTCTAAATCGGATGATTATGTTGGCTCAGCTTTTGTCTGCCAGGATGAAATTGTGGCAGAGCAAATTTCATCGAATTCTTCTATTTTTACTGCAGAGCTGCATGCTATCTACTTAGCCTTAAACTATGTAATCAGAAAAGGTCATTGTCGCTGTGTGATTTATACTGACTCAGTTAGTGCACTTCAGGCTTTGATCTTGTGTGAACCTAGTTCTAACTCTATAGTGATTAAAATTCGTAAATTGTTTAGCCATCTTGCAAGGAATTTCTCTATAAAATTTTGTTGGGTTCCAGACCATGTTGGTATAAGAGGAAATGAAGAAGCAGATGCAGCTGCAAAATCAGCTAGTCCTCCACGGCACACAATGCGTATTGAAGGAGGTGATTTCAAGCTAGTCATTAAAAAACGACTAGCAGAGAGATGGCAAAATATGTGGAACGCACAAGTCCACAATAAACTGCATGAGATCAAACCTACGATAGAAAATTGGACACACAAGAAATTTTATAACAGGAGATCTGAAGTTATTATTACTCGTTTGAGAATTGGACATACTCGGTTGACTCATCAATACCTTTTGAAGGGTGACGAGCAGCCAGTATGCCGGTAGGTAGGTATCCAGATGTAGTGCGGATCCTGGTGGTGTAGCCTTCGTACAGAGAGCATATTGTATTAATGGAGTCCTGGTGGAGGCCAATCCATTTTAGGCACTTCCATATGGTGTGGTGGGGGATTGCCCCAAATGCGTTGGCGAAGTCAAGCCATGCAATGTGGCAATCCCTTCTACTACGACGGGCGTCTTGTATCACCGTCTGTAGGGTGAAGTTGTGATCAAGACAGCCCTCATAGTTTAGGAAGCCTTTTTGCTCTGAGGACAAGATGTTGTTGGAGGAGCACCACCTGAGCAATCTGTCTGCTAGGCAAGCGGTGAATAACTTACCTAAGGTAGCAGACAGTGTGATGGGACGCCAGTTCTCAATACGGTTGGGGTCACCCTTCTTAAAGGCTAGAATTGTTGTGGAAGTCTTCCACGCCTTGGGAATATACCCCGTTCTTTGGACTGCGTTGAAAACAGATGAGATTATGATTCCTTGGGGGTCCAGCTTGCGCCAATGGTGGTAGCGGATGTTGTCAGGCCCCGGCGCTGTGTTTTTCCCCTTGCTGAGGCGGATTGCTACCTCTTCTGGGGTGAACGGTAGACCCAGTGGGTTGTTCTCCTGGGGGGACTCACCTGTGTTAAATATTGGGACCTCCGCTAAGTTGATTGTAGATGGACTATAAGTCTTTGTGAAGTGGTCCTCGATGATGTGGTTGGAGATTTCGCAGAACTTCCTTCCGTTCCCTATAACGGATTCGAATGCTCTTTTCTTATTTGTGCGGTAGCATTGTTGGATGCGGCTTGCGTCGTTGACAAGATCGCTCTCTGGGTGGTTGTGGTTGCTGTCAACGTTAGGGTTGGTGGAAGTGCGAAGTGACAGCGGTCTTAGTCCATGGATGCTGTGGACGAGGTTCGTTAGGTCCTCTAGCATGTTTTCCAACATGTCCTCGTCCAGAGCAGAGTCGAATCTTTTGATCCATGAACGATCCATGTGGGGATTTCTGGCTCAGAAGTTGGAGACTTACCTGTGTCATTGTTCATTGGTAGATCACCGATTGTGCAAGTGGAGCCCCTTAGAGGTAAGGGGTTTGTAGGAGGTGGGGCACCAGTCTCTGCTTCTTCCTGATGGCTGAAAGTAGGGTGAATGTCCAGTTGGTCCTCGGGCACGTAAGGGGGCCCCTGGGAGGCGTCTGGCTGGCTGCTTTGGAGACTGTTGTCAAGCGGAGAAGCATGTTGGAGAGTGGGCTCATGTATACTCCTGCAAGGGCTGGTGACAGCGGACCTTTCGTCTGGCACTGGAGTTGCTGATTGCTGCAATCTGTTGGGAGGAGTATGTGACTCACCTTGGCCTGTTGTGTCGGTAGGCGGGGGCGGCCTTGGAGTAGGGTTCCTCTTGTTATTTGCCGTGTGATTCCTCTGGGCATTTGATCGCCTGGTGTTACGAGTAGTTTTCCCTTTTGTAGCCTGCGGAGGGGTTGTGGTGCTGTCGGGGTCTTTGCTGCCAGAGGAGGAGGCATTTTCTCTGGGCTTGCGTCTCCTGACGTATTTCTTCCTCGGTCTTGTGGGGATACGGACTATTCGTCTATCCTTGGGAACAGGCTGAGGGGGCGACAGGGTCTCTATACAGCTACAGCAGTTGTTTGATTTGAGTTGGTGGGCTTTTAGGGTCTTGAGTTTGTCAAGAACTAGTCCACACACCCTGCATTCGAAATAGAGAGTGACCCCGTGCTCACGTTTGAGGTGTTTAACAAGGCCTGCATGGTCTATGTAGTTCTTAGGGATTGGTAGACATAATTGGCATCCGTGGGGGGGTTGAAGGGGAACCAATACAGTCACTTCTGGCATGCTAAGACCAAATGTGGAGCCAGATGAAAAAGAGGGTGAAACGCCCCCTGGGGTGCAGAGCAGCCAACCAAGGAGGGGCGGGAAGGGGAAGAAAGAAGGTGTCCTGAGTGAAACACCACGGGCTTAGAGGGCCACGAGGTGTCCAAGCGGAGCACCAGAAAAGCTACCAGCCTAGGCTGGTAACGATAGACAAAAGTGTTGCCAGTCGAGCAGCGAATACACGGTGCGTTTAAACCGTGCAGGCCGCTCTTCCGGCGGAAGAGAGAAGGGTAAAGGAAAGAGAAGGAGGTAAAACCAAATATACTTACCCAGAGGACTGGGGAGCGATGTGAGGCTCGAAATCCAGGTCTGGTCCTTAATTTAGGCAAAGATCATTAAGCTGATAAGAACAGATACTTTTAAATAAAGTTTATTAATTCAACTAAGGTATACATGCTGCTACATGCAGTTTGATTACATTGTTACTTCATAATATCCATTACATTTATTTTTGTATGTCATGTTACATAAAAACTACTATCCATTGTGCCTAGGGAATAAATATAATATGTACATGGTAGGCAATATGGTGAGCAGAGTACAACAAACGGAGTACATCGTATTTATTTTTCGCGTGACAGTTTACAGTATAGTTATTTGATATACAAATACATGAACATAACCGGACATGGTCTTACAGTGAATTGCGTAACATAATTACCGACTATTAGAATTGATTACCGTATAACCGATTAGTGACATCAGTCCTGCCATTGGTCATTTAATACAATTTTCTGATTTACAATTTTCCAAATAACATCCTTTGTACCATGATAGAGTTTGTCGAAGTCTTTCTGGGTGAAGTTTTCTATGTCAGACTGTATCTTTCTGGCTGCTTCCTCTCTAATTTTTTCTACGATCAGAGAGATGTTTCATTTTTTATTGTCGAAAAGCGAGGCACATCTGGCTTTCCAGATAACCCTTTTGGTAAGGGCTGTAAACCAGATAATCATGTACTCATTCTGGTCCCTCGTGGGAAAGTCATAATTGTACCAGATGTTTTTCCAGCTTATCGTTATTTTGAATATTTTGTTAATCCAGTTCCAGGTGATCTTTGCAAAGTCACATCCAATGAAGATGTGATATGTATCTTCTTCTGCTCCGCATCTGTGGCAGTTTTTATTGCTTGTGGGTCGGTAGCTGTGGTATACGTGAAGAAACGCCTTGGATATTATGTTGTTGTTGAGTATCCGCCATGTAGTCTCTCTCCATTCTGCGGGAATACGACCGACATTTGACCACACTTTAGTCCAATTGATGGAGGTGTCGGATAAGTTGGCGTTGCTGATTTGCTTATGGATGATGTTATATACAGTGGATGGCCTCACATGGTTAGACGTGAGATCACTCATAACCAGTGTGTTGATAATGTCCCTCCAGTACCTATAGGATTTATTGTTCTCGATTGAGAACGGCCTACAGCTGTTATTGTCAGAGAAAGCTTTGGCCGATGGGCCGATGATGTAGTGCATTAGATCAGAGATAGGGTGGGAGTCAGTCTTAAGGCAGTTGACCATATTGGCTATCTGTAGGCTATTGTTCTAAATCCTTAATGTCCCAAATGTTCCATCCTCCATTCATGCAGTTGTTTTTCATCAGATTTCTTCCCATAGGCTCGTAGTTACTATTCCAAATGTATTTGAATATTTGTTTTTCCAGTTGAAGTGCATCCTTTTTTGATAGATTGGTTGTATACAGGTATACAACCAATCTATAAACACAATCAAATTTAATTGTGTTTATTTCATCCGTATTTAAGCCGTAACAGGTTAACATGCTCCACAGAACTTCTCTATTGACCGTGTCGAAAGCTTTTCGACATCGATCGTGAGGATAGAAAGAGGTGTTTTCCTTTTGGTATAAATGTCTTGGATTAGCCTAAGAAACATCGTATTATACTGTATAGTGCGGTCTTTGATTCCCGCTGTCTGAGTACTATTGATGTGGTCGCGGAAGATGGTTTCTAGCCTGTTGGTTATAATGATGCTGTAGATTTTGTAGTCTACGTTAAGGATCGTGATGGGTCTGAAGTCCCCCACGTAGCTGCTGTTATTACCTTTTTTACTGATAAGGTTCATCTTCCCTATATTGAACTCATGATTGTCGGTGCTGTTATTGAAAAGGGTTGGTAGAATCTCTGCTATGTCTTCACTGAAGCATCGGTAGACCTCTGCTGGAAGTTCATCAGTCCCTGGTGCTTTTCTTGTATGAAGTTGGTCAATTGCTTTTTTGATGTCGTCCTTGGTTATGGGTTTGTTTAATATATTTTCATCCACGTTTTTTATCGGTGTTATTTTGTGTTTGATGTTATTCCAGTGGGCCCAATTGGTAGTCGGTTTTTTGTATAAGTTTTTATAGAAGTTTTCAAATTCTTTTATAATAGTATTTTCGTCTTCGGTGCGGACATTGTTGATTATTAGGCTGCTCAGGAGTGACGTTTCCTTTGGCTTAGGTTTCCTTTTAAATGTGATCCTTTCGCTAAGTCGTTCAATTCCAAGTCTGCTCATTTTATGTAGTGTGTAGGTGTCGTTGATCTTGTTTTCTATCTCTTTACTTATTTCCTTTTCGATGTTTGTAATTGCCTCCTTATTTTTGTTGATAATTTTGTGACTGAGCTCTCTTTGCAATGTTTTTATTTTGTTGAAGTTCTTGCGTTTAATTGTTGACCATGTTTTGCTGGCGATGTTGATGATTTTATTTTTGGTTGCTTTCCACGTGTCCCAGGAGATATTATCTCTCAGATTGTCGAGGGCGCTCTTTACTTCTTTATGAAAGGTGTTGTCATTCAGGATGGTAGTGTTGATTTTGATTTTACTTTTCTGTTTTTTGAAATTCTGGATGCCGATGGTAAGGCTAATCATTTTGTGGTCGGAGAAACTCTTGTTGTGGATGGTTAGTTGAGTAGTGTTTATAGATTCGACTTTGCCAACTTGCTTGCTTATGTAGATTCTATCTAGCCGTTCTTGTATCCCTTTACCCTCCCATGTAAACCCGTCGGCATTAGGGTATATAGAGCGGTAAGTATCCTTTAGATCATAACTTGTAATTATATCTTTGAGAATTTGCCGGGAGCCGTCGGGGTGCAGGGCGCTATTTTTGTCTCTCTGGTTGAGGACACAGTTGAAGTCACCTCCAATTAGTAAGTCTCTTCCGCCAATAAAGTAGTTTGGGAGGTGTTGAAACGATGCTTTGCGCTCAGCGAG